CCAATCCACCTAAAGAAAACGACAACAAAGGCAACACTCACCCAAAAAAAAATAAATAAAAAAAAATAAACGTAGTTTTGAAAATCATAACTTTATGTGGGAAAGGGGGTTAAAAAAAAGTAGATTTAAAAGGTAATTTTATTCTGAGAAATTAGTGTTGCTAAATCAAGCTGCCCCTTTAACTGAAAATAAAGAGAACTTATAAATAAGAAACATTTTTAGAAACATGAAAAGGACTTCTTGAGAAATTACAATTCGCTCATCTGTTGACCAACACTGACATAACTTTGTAAAGATGTGACAATAATCGATTTATGTTTACGTTTTAGTGTATCTTTTGATACACTTGTCTCTGTGGCAAAAGTAAAATGCACCCCCCCCCCCTTTTTTTGTTTTTAAAACTTGCTCGATCTAGTGCACAGATCTGGGGTCGCGGTGGGAATCACATTGGTGTTGTTGCAACTACATGACTATCATAATCATATAAAATGCCACTAGATAATTATGAAGGAAATACTCGAAGGAGGCAAGATGTGGGGCAAAAGGGCCTAGGGTGGACACAAAAATCCCCAAAGCAGACCGATAACATTAGGGCATCATAACCTCTTTGTCAGGGCATGGGCTGGCCTAAGTATGACAGAGTGTAAGACGGCAGCTGGAAACCGTAAGCACCAGCGGGTCATTCACGTTAACTTATGAGCCAGAGATGGCACCCCCAGATTCCCAAAGAATGTGTGTTTCTTACAAGAACAGGAAACCGTGGGCTAAGACCGCCATTGAACAAGAATTTATGGGACATTATGCTTGACTTTTACTCTCTATGTCATATACAGGCTAATAAACTGATAAATTCAACTATCTGATGACCACGGGTTTGTCATAGATCGTGCAGAGGAAATAAAAAAAAAAATCAAATCGAAAGTCATGTCCCGTGACGTCATTCGATATCGAAAATTGTTTCGTACGTTAAGACTTCTAGATTATAACGATTACATCAAAGTCAAATCTTGTCTCATCCGGTAGTCGAAAAAGTAAAAAATACGTTGTGTACAATAATATATAATTCTACCTTGTCTCCCCCTCCTCCCCCTTTTTTTCTACCCCCCCTCCCTCCACAGCGTGACCAACATGGCCGACAGTCTTCTCCTCAATTTCGACGACAACACCGCCCCCGCCCCGCCCCCTCAGCCCACTACACCTGCAGCAGACCAGTTGCTCTTTGACCCCATTCAGTCGTCAGCACCAGCAGCAGCAACAACAGCAGCAACAGCAGCACCACCTGCAGAACAGCTGCTGTTTGACCCGGTCTCCCCATCAACACCAGCAGCCCCAGTAGCCCCAGTAGCCGCAGCAGCAGCAACAACACCAACAGCAACACCAGTAGATCAGCCACTGTTTGAAGCAGCACCCCCTACAGCAACAACAGCAGCACCAGTAGCACCACTGGCGTCACCAACAGAAGCAGTACCAGCGACTAGTACTTCCACTCCCCAAGGTTAGACACAACTATCGCAACTATCGCCACCCTAGAATGACAAAGTTTTTGTCTGACATTTTTAGCCGTGTCGAGTTACTAAGACCTTGAAGTCAGAAACCAAATTAATTATGTTCTATCTGCTCTATCAAAATTGTAAAATTATTTGGAGTCGTTATCAAGATGTTCAAATAATTCATCTGGAAAGATCTTGACAAATTATTGAGAAACTCAAAATTTTCGACGTCAAATTTCCCCAAACTAAGTATTGAGCAGATAGAACTTTGTAATTCTGAGCTACAGTAATGCATGATTATATTAATATTCTGGGGGCGTGATAGGAGTCTTGAACTGGAAAACTGGACGGTTGGGATGAATATAGGAGGTCGTGCTGTGTATGTGTGTGTATGTGTGTGTGTGTGTGTGTATGTGTGTGTGTGTGTGTGTGTGTGTGTGTGTGTGTGTGTTT